TTGGTGGGAAGCCTCAGTTCCACCCCTCATGATGCCTACACATGGCTCCTAGTGTCTTCAGGACATAGTGACTGGTCTCTCAGACTGAACACTCCTGGAGAGTAAGGCAGGAGCCCATCATAGTCTTGCCGTAGAAGTCATTCACTGTCACTTCTGCATTGTACCACTAATCACTCAGTTCCGCCCACATAGGCATGGATGCCTGGAGGGAAGGGAGAGCAACTGGAGGCTGGCTACCGTAGCTTTCCCTTCCATATTTGATTTCACCTATGTGACTTGCTCATTCTCCTTCCAAACTTTTATCTTAAATATAGTCACTTTTTGTCATTTCTGCTGCTTCCAATTTAGTCCAAGGCAGTATCCACACTCAGCTCTGCTGTGATAATCTTCCATCTGATCATCCTCCTTCTGCTCTTGTCACTCTTCAGTGAATATTTCCACACAGCAGTCACTCACTTTCTTAATTAATCAATTCAGCACTAATTTACTTTGTACTTAGTGCATGCTACATTTATTCTCAGAATATAGTGGTTAAAAGCAAGACAACCAAAATCTGTAGAATTTCCATAGAGTAGGGAAATAAGTGAAATAATATTGAAAATATAAAGTGGTAATATGTGTGATACAGAAAATTAAATCAGGGTAAATGAAATAGAGGACAATAGGACCCTGGGGACTACGGGGTGATGTATGACAGCAGGCTGTCAAGCATGCTATCTGATCAGTTGACACTGGAACAGAAATCCAAAGGACATGAGGGGGCAGACACATGCATACCAGGGGAAGAGCGCTTCAGGCTCAGGAAAGTACAGTTACAGCCCTGATCATGCTTGGTGTGTTTGAGAAACAGCAAGCCAGCCCTTGGACTGGAGCAGATGGATGGAGGGAACTGGAGGGTAAGAGGTGATGGGGTCAGATATGTAGGGTATCGTAGACAATGATGAAGACTTGGACATTACCTTGGATTTGTGGGGGGTGAGGAAAGTCATTAGAATATTTTGCTGACTTGCTTTTTAATATGATCATTTGAACTGCTCCGTCAGTGATCTAAAATGTCAATGATATCAAGTCACTTCAGCTGCTCAAAATCCTTCACTGTATTCCCTTTTCAGTTAGAACAAAATTTAAGCTCCTTTGGCTGTTATTGTTGTAATTGTTATTGTTCCTATTAGAATCGACACCTCATTCTCTATTATAGAATCCTGCTGATTTCCTTCCTAAGATGTATCCAACTAGTTATTATGACTATTGCCATCGTTATCATTATTGGGCTTATTTGCTGACAACCTGCCTCCTCCATTTGAAAATATGTACTCTGGGGATGTTGTGGTGCCTAGCTCTTCCCCTGCTAAATCATTCCAAGATTGCTTTGTTCTAGATATCTTGTTTTCTGTTCATTATATTTTTTTCTGTATCTTCCCTCACTGTCATATTAGGTTAGTGACCTGCTTCTGGCAACATGATGGCTAGTGGCAGAGTAAATGTGCTGTTGAGCTAGTCTGCTTTGCCTCATGAGCCACGTCGCTGTTTCTCAAACTTCAAGTTCACCTTACCCCACTTTGCTTTTATGAAAGACATACATCAGTACCTATTTTCATTAATCAACATAAATCTAAGAGAATTTTTACTTTTTGACAAAAAGTGAAAGCGAAAGTGTTACAGGGCAGGGAGAGGGGCAGCCCAGACCCCCCAAACCTGCCTGCTCTAAATAGGTTCTGCCATCTGCCGCATCAACACAAAACATGAGACTTTAATGGGAAGGAACTTTAATACAATTAGGAAACAATACAGGAAAGGCAAAGAATATAGTTTCTAAATCAAGCACCCAAATTTACCCGTCCCCTCATGGGTAAAAGTCTACTCAAGCAGGATTGGCCCAGAGCAAGGCCCCAAAGCCTGCCCCAAGTCTAAAGCATCTTCCAGTGGGGACCCACAGAAAAGGATGAGACACAACCAGACAAGTCTGGAGGGAAAAGAACAAAATCAAAAGCAAGACAAAAACCGCCATTTTCACCTCCCCACTGGTCTCTCACCCACATCTGTGTCACCCAGTCCACAACCAAAAGGCAAGCGCAGTTTCGTCACATGTCTCTCTGCTCCATGTGCCTTCTCCAGGTCTCCTTCTGGCTCTCCACCCTGCTTCCCTCCTTCCTCAGTCTCCTCTGCAGCGTCTTCTCTCCCTGCTCAGCTCCACCCTCCTTTTGGGTGGGGTAGGGAACCTGGAACCTCCCCCTTTCCTGGGGACCACCCTGTTACAATAGTAGCATTTTGCAGCAGCAGCTCTAGAGGCCGCCTGCCCCCCTGAAAATGGGAATTGCCCCTGAGCAATTTAGGTTTTATGTGTTATTTGGGGGTTATTTTTGGGGGGTTGTAGCGGCAGGAATGGACATGGAGCAGGATCTTTATGATCCGAGCAGATGGGGTAAGGAGAAGTCCTGGAGCCCTTGGTGGCTTTTTAGGCTTTTATTGGGATTTTACTGGGTACACAGCATACAGGGGTGCTGGGGGGCCGGGAGGATGGCAGGCCTCCCAGCCCCCAGCAAGTCTTCACTTGTTCTGGGCTCTCCGGTTTTCTCTGGCAGTCTCTGCTTCTCTGCTCTCTTCTCTTCTGGCGTCCGTGTGATGCCACCCTTATAAGCCCAGTCTCTTAGCCCAGGTATACCAACTTACGCATGCCCACACCCTACTCCAGGTGTCCACTGTCAGGCATACATTCAGGACCGCAGGGATCCATTATCAATCCTAATGGCGGGAGGGCAGAAAAGCCTGATACTTTTTATTTACCCTACGGGGTCTAGGAACAATGAACATTTAAAAAAAAAAGATTTATTTATTTATGCATACAGGAACTGGGGTATAGACCAGAGGTGTGGAGGGTGAGAGGATTCACCAGAGACAGAGTGGGGAACAGAACAGGCAGACTGATTGAAATACACTGCTGAGGGGAGCAGTGGGTGCTGCACCATGTGGGTAGCCTGGCCACGGGGGATTGAACTCGTGATGCAGGGGCTGCAGATAGCTTCACAGTGCTGTACTTAACCCCTTGTGCCACCAGGGAGGCCCAACATTGAACATTTTTACAACAAAAATTAATGGTGTTTCCTTGCTTTAAAACCATGACATTTGTGAAAGGTTTCCTAGGAATGCTCTGCTTTAGATAGCAGGGGAAACCTGCATCTGGAAGGAGGGGAGAGGTTCATGTTAAAGCATGGATTCTTATTCAGTAGGTTATAGGTGGGCCTTGAGCTTGTGCATTTTTAGCAAGCTTGTCTTTTTTTTTTTTTTAAAGATTTATTTGTTTATTTATACAAGCACTGGGTACAGTCAGAAGCACGGGAGGGTGAGAGAATTCACCAGAGTCAGAGTGGGGAACAGAACAGGCAGACCAATGAAATACACTGATGAGGGGAGCAGTGGGCACGGCAGGAGAGTTCTGTCGTGCCCTGTGGGACCCTTGCCGGTGGCCGGGGATCGAACCGGCGCTGCAGAGGCTGCAGCCCAGTGCTCAATTTCTGCGCCACCAGGGGAGGCCCACAAGCTTATCTTTGATGCTGGTCCTTTGAGTGACAAGGTTTGATCACAGAGCTTGGCTGAATATTGGAATCACCTGTGAAGCCTTCACAACTACTAATGTCTGGATACCACTCCCAGGATTATAATTAATATGGAGTGCAGTGAGAGTATTGGGAATTTTTTAAGTTTCATAAGTGATTTTACTTGGTAGCAAGATTTGAGCACCACTGGATTGGATGACTTTGGGCCCTATTTTAAAACAAAGCATACAGAGTAATGCTCTGTAGCGGTATGTCCTTTCTTTTGTAAAAGTCAATTTTATAGCTGGCGAGAGTCTGGCCAAACCCATGGATGACTTCCAGATCTCTGCCTAGCATGACTGGGTAGTTTCTCCAGTGTCCCTGGCACATAATTAGTGGCAGAAATAAAATTCCTGCCTTTGGGAGAGTGATTGTTCTGAGTACAGTTAAAATAACCCCTCTAATGGCAAGCTTGCAGTAAGTAGGCTGTCCTGTGAGCTTGTGCTGAGGCAGAGGGAGAGGTGAAGCAGGGAAGCACTCTGCTTTTTTTTTTTTCTTGAAATTTCTAGCTTATTCACATGCAAATTGTGAATTTCAGAGTCAGTAACAAACTAAGAACTTTTTGTGTGATTCAAGCTAACCCCTTGGTCAACAAAAACAGATGTTTCAAACTACTGAAAACTAATGAGGCAGATCCAATTTACAGGTTATTAATTGACTGCTAGATGTGGGCCCCCCAAGTGGCCATGGTGACATTGGGTAGGGCAGACGATGCCAGAGCCCTACAATGCCTCCCCCGCCCAGGTCGCCTCCCACCTACCCTAATGTAAAGCTTTCTCAGTTCCTTTTGTCAAGCGATTTATTTTATCTTAACAGAGCCTGGGAAAGTTTCCTATGAAATGCCTTCTGTAAAGGTCAGGACAGGACACAGTGCAGGTTTTCTGATCCCATGCAGACCGGGTAAAGGAGGAGTCAGAGTCCTTAGTTGGGTTTTTGCAGGTCTTTTATTGGGGTTCATCAGGCATATGGCAGGCAGGGGTGCTGGCTGGGGGGCTGGGAGGCCCCCCAGCCTCCCAGCCCCCCAGCAAGTCTTCACTCTATCTGGGCTCTAGCGTTCGTTCTGCCGCTTCTAGGCTTCTCTTTCGGCTTCGGCTTCGGCTTCGGCTTCGGCTTCGGCTTCGGCTTCGGCTTCGGCTTCGGCTTCGGCTTCGGCTTCGGCTTCTATTGCTGCTGCTGCTGGCGTCCCCGTGACGCCGCCCTTAAAAAGCGCAGTCTTAGCTCAGGTGAATCCCATCTACCTATGCCCACACCCTACTCCAGGTGCCCGCCATCAGGCATGCATTCAGGACCGCAAGGGTCCATCATCTATCCTCATGGCAGGAGGGCAGAAAAGCCTGACATTTTTCCTTACCCTACACCTTCTATCCCATGTAACTAAATTGATTTTTTCCCCCCTGGATGATCCAGATTGGACGACTGATAATCGGACAGAATGGCATCTTGTCGACACCTGCAGTTTCCTGCATTATCAGAAAGATCAAGGCAGCTGGTGGAATCATCCTAACAGCCAGCCACTGCCCTGGAGGACCAGGGGGAGAGTTCGGAGTGAAGTTTAATGTTGCCAATGGAGGTATGTTATTCAGGATATGATTTGTCATGATATCCTTCTTCTTACATTATATAGATTTACAATGATCATATAATGGTAGACAAGCAAAGTGGATAGAAAATGGCTCAGAAAAATCCACTGAGGTGCCTGTATTAGGGTTTTCTAGAGAAAGACAACTGATAGGATATAAAGAGATACACGGAATTAACAGTTGTGATTATGGAGTCTGGGATTCCCCAAGATCTGTAGTTGGCAGCTGGAGACTGTAGGGTAAGGTAAAAAAGTATCAGGCTTTTCTGCCCTCCCGCCATTAGGATTGATGATGGATCCTTGGGGTCCTGAATGCATGCCTGATGGCGGGCACCTGGAGTAGGGTGTGGGCATATGTAGATGGGATTCACCTGGGCTGAGAGACTGGGCTTATAAGGGCGGAGTCACGGGACACCAGCAGAATGACCGGAAGAACCACGAGAGGAGCAGAGAACAAGCCTAACAGAGAACGCTGGAGAGCCCAGAAAGAGTGAAGATTTGCTGCCAGCACCCCTGCCAGCCATGTACCTGGTAAATCCCAATAAAAGCCTGAAAAGCCACCGAGGGCTCCGGTACTCTTCTTTAGCCCATCTGCTCGGGTCCATAGAGATCCTGCTCCGTGTCCTGCTGCCCCACACAAGACCCAAGAGAGCTGAGGGTGTGGCTGCCTGAAAAGGAGCAGAGTTGACGGTGTAAGTAACACTGATTCTGAGTCTGCTACTGAAGCCACTAGAGGACCGATGTGTCTGTTTAGGGACAGGCAGAGAGATCAAATTCTCCCTTACTCAGCTTTTTTGTTCCTTCCAGGAACAGTGGGTTGGTTGTATGAGGCCCACCCTGTTGGGAAGGACCAACTGCTTTACTTGTCTATCCACTGAAATGTAAATCTCATCCAGTAACATCCTCATAGACAATATCTGGACAAAACCTAATATCTGGGCACCCTGTGGCTAGTCAGTTAATCATCAAATTGTTTAAGGTGACATACTGAGGAGGTAGCATACTGGAATCTTGAACCCATTTGATCTCTTGGTCCCCTGCACTCCTCAGAACAGTGAAGTGATTGAATAGTTGATTTTTTTCTTAGTATGAAAGGACTCTAGGTTTTGTTTTTTTTTAAAGATTTATTTATTTATACAAGCACTGGTGTACAGGCCAGAGGCATGGAAGGGTGAGAGGATTCACCAGAGACAGCAGGGAGCAGAGCAGGCAGTTGGACAGAGAACACTGCTGAGGGGAGCAGTGGGTGAGACAGGAGAGGTCTTCTGTGCCATGTGGGCATCTCACTGTCTGGCTGGGAATCGAACCTGTGCTGCAGAGGCTGCGGACAGCTGCACAGAGCTGTACTCAACATGCTGTGCCACCGGGGAGGCCCAGGACTCTAGGTTTTTATGGTTGGAAAATAACCTCACAGTCATTTAGAATATTCCCTTCATTTACAGAACAATTTGAAGCCTTGAGAGGCTGCTCTGTGCTCAAGGTCACCTTGCTGGCTGCTCAAGGCCAGACATGATTTTTCAGCACAAATCCTGGACTTTCTGATAGTGTTGACTTTCTTTCACTGAAATGCATGTAATTTTATTTTTTCATTGTGATCTTCACTTTTACCATATGACAAAAAAAAAACAAAAAAACTTGGTAAAATCTAGCTCTCTTCTCTCCTGTCTACTGCAGTGGGCTATGCTGATTTTTAAAACGGCTTTAATGAGGTGTATGTACTTGATATATGAAAAACCAGCACATATTAAATGTATATGATTTGATGAGTTGGATGCTGTTTGCTTTTATATGTTTAGTGAGCATTTGTCAGGAGGCAGTAATTGAATTATGCTCTAAACAGCACTGTCAAATAGAAATACATTGTGAGTCACATAAATGATTGAAATTTTTTAGTACCAGGGTAACAAATGGGAAAAGAAACAAGTGAATAATATATTTTTACCCTAAATATGGAAAATATTATCATTCTAACATGCTACTATAAAATGATTAATGGAGTCTTACATTTTTCAATGAACTCCCCAAATTTGATTGGCATTTTATAGTTATATCACATAGTCAGTTTGACTAGTCCCACTTCAAGTGCTCAATAGCGACATATGGTTAGTGATTTTTATGTTAGACAGTGCAGCTCTAAGGACTGGGATATAGAAGAAATGAAGAAATAGTTTCTGTTTAGTAGAAAGTTACAGTATAGTTGATGAGTGAGATTTATATACAAAACTATCTGCCTACCTATCTACCTGCCTATCTGTACTGTATACTTTATTTATTTATTTTTTTATAGAGGCATGTTTTATTTATTTATTTGTTTGTTTTTTGTTTATACAAGCACTGGGTACAGTCAGAAGCGCGGGAGGGTGAGAGAATCCACCAGAGCCAGAGCAGGGAGCAGAGCAGGCAGAAGGACCGAAGTACACTGCTGAGGGGAGCAGCGGGCGGCAGGAGAGGTCTGCGCGCCAGGTGGGACCCTCCTTAGGTGGCCGGGGAGCAGCCGGGGATCGAACCGGTGCTGCAGAGGCTGCGGGCAGCTTCGCAACCCAGCGCTCAACCGCTGCCCCACCGGGAGGCCCTGTACTATATACTTTAGATCCTTAAATTCAATTTGTTTGAATCCCAAACTTGTTGCAAAAATCTAGAGATTTGCATTAAGGTAGAAAAAATTAAAAAAAGAAAACACTGAAGAAAAACAACTATAGAATTCATGTTCATTTTATTAGTTTATCCAACTTAATTGTGAACTTGACCTTATAAGGAAATATATCCAGTTTTTTTTTTTTAAATCTCATTTTAAAGACTTGGGCATTACTACAGCATGTAAATAGGAATATAACTTACCCTGGGAAGCTCACACATTAGTAGGCAGCAGATATGTGAGTAGAAACCTTATTTTCTATCTCTAGGTACACTTGGGAAGTTGCAATTTAAATCTGGAATCTCTCACTTCTGTCAAATGCATATCCTGTTTGTGTCTCATATCCTGAATAAAGCTGATTACATAACCGGGACTCCCTGGCAGGTGTGAAACTATTTTTAGGGAAGACATATCATTGCTTAAAAGTAGACTAAGACAAACATGTGGGTTATTAGCCTACATAAAACAGGTGAGGCTGACCAAATTTCCTCCACAGTGGATAAATATAGCTTAAGAGATATCGAGGCTAATTAAACTGTGAGCTGTTGTCTATTGTTCAGAGAACAAATGAATCCTACTTGGTGGAGGAGGAGGTAACATTTTCTTATCTAATTTTGGGCATGTTTAAAAAAATATTTTAGGTGGTGCATTACTTTTAAATTTTAGGTCCTGCGCCAGATGTCGTCTCTGACAAAATTTATCAAATCAGCAAAACCATTGAGGAATATGCCATATGTCCTGATCTTCGAATTGACCTATCTCGACTAGGAAGACAAGAATTTGACCTGGAGAACAAATTCAAACCATTTAGAGGTAATAGAACATATTTTGAAGAAGTAGAATTACTCGAAGGTTGGGGGTGACTGATTTCTAGAGGGTGTATCCATAGGGAAGTGATTGGGTTTTCTATCTTAGAAGTAACTCTTGACAAATAGATGGGATCTATTTGCTCTTGGGAATGAAGGTAGCCAAGATATTCAGAATTGGTACCTTTCAAAAACCTCTTTCCAAACTCTGTTATTTTCAATACAGGAGAAAATTTCATAGCTGACTCTCTTATAGCATTCAAAGAAGGCTATGAATCGCAAAACATGTCTTTATTTTCCAACTAGTTAAGATGAAGGTGCTGTAATAAATTAAATAGTGAAGAAGAGACACAGCACGGTAGTGAGGCTATTAAAGTTTCCATAGAAGGTTTCTAAGCCAGAAACATGCAATTTAGTTTGATTCTGTGCACAATTATTGATCACCTACTCTGTACCAAACACCATGTTAGATTTTACAAAGCAATTCAGTTAAGTGCAAAAGTATTTAGGCAAGTGGTTTAAGGATCAAATAACCAGAATAAAATTGGCAAAGATATTATCCTAATTATAGTGTGAATAAACTTTCTAAAATACTTAGCTTATAACCTGTCAAGCTACAGATTAATATTGAACCATGTAACATTAATAGCATATGTAGGTACATAATACCCCCAGTTATATCCTATTGCTTTTTCCTAGAAGACCTACGAGTAGCAATAAAGCAAATACATCTTTTTCTCCTTTACTGCCCCTATATGCCGAAGTACAGTTTATATTAAGAGGGAACCCCTTATTCCACAAATAATTTAAGGTAGTGAAAAAGATAAAATATACTTGTCTTATGGTCACCTGGTTCTTTAGGCACAGAGAAGAGCTTGAAATGGACTGTTGAGGGTCAAAGTATTGGGCGAACATTTCACATTTTTGGAAAAGATTTTGAATCAACCCCTTGCTTATCTAGCCAGCAGAAATTAATTGAAAGTCATGTTATGCTTAGGTCCTGATGACTTAGGCACTGGACAAAATTTGCTTTGATCAATCTAGAGGGGTCGCGAGCTTATGTGCATGCGCACACACACACACACACACACACACACACACACACTTAACATAATGATTTGACAACTAAAGGCAAGGGATGTAGTATATTAAATGAAATCTCTTACATATTCTTTATTTTTGGTATCTTCATAATTTTTGTGGTTATTCAAGAAACCCAGATTTTTGATGAGCTCAAAGTCTGATTGTTTTAGTCACATTGTTAGTGTGAAGAGTTTTCTAAAATCCTATAGATGCAGGATGTGAGTAGAAAGATTTCTTGACACCCAAGAAAAATTTGAAGGTAATTCTTGGTATAATTGATATACTGCTCTTGGGATAATTTCTTTATTATGATCTTGCTCTTTTAAATGTTGAGCAAGGTTTCAGTTAATTGGAAGCAAATCAGTCAATGACCTTTCACTTTATTGCATCAGGGGCATGAACTGTTTGATGTGAACTTTCATGAATATTCCCTGAATTCTACCTGCTTCCTTGTTTTTGCCACTTCTGTTCCATATAGTAGTAGATTGAGCAGGTAGCACAATTCTAGGGAGTTTATTTGCAGCAAGCATTTTTGCTGCATAATTGGTCATAAGGCTAATTTTGTCTTAAAAAAGATAAAATCACCCCCCCCATGAAAGAGGAACATTGAAAGGATTTACAAAAGTTTTTTTTCCTTGCTAAAATTTCTGCATTTATTGAGAGAGATATCAGTTTCTAAATACTAAATGGATGTATGTAGCTAAGCTTTATATTGTGATGTGAAAGTTTCTGTATTACTCATTGACAGATGAAGGATGCTGCTATTGCTTATCATTATATGTAACACATGTAACTGATAACACATACCTGGATTGCATTTAAATGCTTTATCACATACTTCTTCTAAGCCAGATTCTGTACTAGTACCAAAATTCTATCTCATGTCCTCCACTGTCAAACAACAAACAATTTTCATCATTTTCCAGAGACGTATTCATAAGGAATCATGTAACCATTTCTTTTGGGGGGGGCAGGGGCATTAGGAAGAGCTTGATTCTCCATTTGCCTCCAACTTCTAATATTGTATGACAAATTTGGTAAGATGGCAAAGGGAACAACTTGTTGCATCTAGATGAGCTAAAGAATTGATAATTAATGCTCTCAAAGACTTGTGGATTACTAGCTATCTTTCTGTATTTGCCATAGCTTGTTAAACTTTTGGTTTTGATGGCTGGAGGGGTGACTGCTTACTGAAAGATTTGCAAACTGATGTGTTATTTTCAGTACAGTCTATAATCTGGCTTTACACTCTGTTATTTCACACTTCCAGTAAGTTTTACTGCTGTATTTTTATTATATAAAAAAATGGGAGCACTACATCAGCTGAAACCAGACTCAACCAGTTCTTTTTATCTTTTACTGCAAAATTGCCTTATGACCAATTAGTTATGTGTGAAAATGTTTGTGGTAAAGAACATGTGATGAAACTACACAACACATTTTCTAAGTACCAAGTGTATTTAGACAGGGGACCCAAGAATTAAAGAGTCAGTATGAAATTACCAAAATATCCTTTATTATAGTGAGTAAATTTCTAATGTATTCTGTAATGCCCTTTTATTTTATAGATTATTTGTTTTATTGTGTAAATTATTCATATAACAAAGCCTACTGTTACAACATTTTTAGGCATTCAACTCATAGATTGTTAATTGATTTTATAGATTAATATCCTTATGTCAAAAGATGATTAAAAGCTCTTTGTGTTCCCTGAAAAATAATTTGTATTTCATTTAAGTGGACACATATATTTTATTTGTGATTAAAGAGCAAAAAAGTATTTTTCTTTGTATATTTGACCACATATTAAAATCTCTTCAATTAGATATTATATTTGTATTTGCTGAAAAAATTTAAAGGTAGATTGATAATATTTTAATGAGCGTCAAGTATTCACAATTCCAAAGTATTATCTATCTGAAGAAATTGAAAAAAAGTATGTAAGTTTCAAAATTTAACTACAAATTTAAAAAGTATGACTTTTGGACAGATTTTAGTGCCTAAAGTTCCTATACTGCTTCTAGGAAAATACTTTGGGTATTAATTAATTATTAATTGATTACCTAGTTTGAAAAATAATAGGATGTATTCTGTAATTTATGTATCTATCAAATAAGTGGAAAAGACTTGTTTTGGATTCCTAGTCATTAGGTGGTGCCAGGCACTGATGAACATGTGTGTTTAGTGAGGATTTGTAGAAATCTGGTATTTTCCTGAATTGGTACGAAAGACACAAGAGATTTCATATAAATTCAGAAATATGTTCTTCTGCACCAATTCAGAACTTGGATCTGGTGGGCATGATAGCATTGGTAAAAGGTCACTGCTGAGCTCGCTCCTTGATTTGTTTTACACCAGCCCCCACAGGAGAGGCAACTAGTGTTACAAGATACCTTTTAGCATCTAGTTGTATGGGATTTTTTAGAGGAAGGTGGGAGTAGGGATAACAGTGCATAGTTTTATCATAAACTACTTTATTCTGTGGTTGATTTTTCACTTGCAAAGAAGAGTTTATAACTTGATATTATTTATACCCATTGACATTTGTAGTATCTTGATTGTGCTTTAATGATTGATTTTGTCTACAAGTGAACACTTCACTTCCCATATGTGTGGCGTTATCATGGGTCTGTGATTAGTATTTCATGATATGATGATAGTGATTTCATTTTTACACCTCTGAGAATATCCTTGGTCATTGATGTTTCCTGCTGTTTCCCTTTCCTTAGTGGAGATAGTGGATCCAGTGGATATCTATCTCAACCTCCTTCGGAACATTTTTGACTTTAATGCCATCAAGAGTTTGCTGACTGGGCCCAGCCAACTGAAGATCCGAGTTGATGCAATGCATGGAGGTAAATTCATAGCCTTCTACTTATCAGTGGGAAAGAAATATTAAGAAGACCTCTACACATGTTGGGTTTCTGGGGATATGAGGAAGGTTAGATTCATATGTTGTCCCGTGTGTGTATATTCAGATGTTTGGAATGCTTTGAAAGACTTCAGGGCTGTGATGAACATGGAAGTGTAGCTGTCTCTTCAATTTAGTGTTCTGGTGTTCTTCGGGTAAATACCCGGAAGTGGGATAACTGGATTGCATAGAATTTGTATTTTTAATTTTTTGAGGAATCTCTCATTTTGAATAGGAGATTTGATATTCTTTTCTTTCATAATTTTATGCCAGTGTTCCATTGTCTTACAACCATTTGTAGTAAACTTGAGAAATCTGGTGCTATTCTGATTTTTTATCCATTGTATGAAAACTTTTTTCTCTTCCACAGGCAAAATGAAAAGGTTTGTTTTGTATTAGTGAAAAATAAATAGAAAGCAAATCTTTCCATATATTTCAGCCAACAGGATTATCGACTAGTCCCCAAAGTGCTGTATGTCCTACCATAGTTTCTGTTCCCATACTCACAATGTTCTTTCCATTTGGATGGCTTCCCCACTCTGTCAAATTTATATTCTCCCTTTGAGTCCCTGAGAAATACTGCTTCCTTCTTGAAGATTTACCTGTGGTCATTCTTTTACTTAAGCCATTCTTTTTCTTGGATCTAATTATTCCATAAATATCCATTGAATGGACTAGTCTTATAGTGACAGTCACTGACATGTAGATTTGACTCATCCTATGTCTAGATTAAGAGCCCAGTGATGTGGGATCTGTATGTTTTGGTCTTTGAATACAATCCCCTCCATCCCTAACATTGGAGTTCCATGTTAGACATGCTGTAACTGAGTGGTGAACTGGAAAATACTATTCCTTAGCATTTATTTTGTAAAATGTGCTTAGTTTTATGTGCTTCAGCGGTTTCCAGTGTTTAATTAGACACTTGGCAGAGTTAAAATGATTGCAGAGACAAAGAACACTGCTGGAGCCTTTTAGTGCTTTAGTGCTTTTGCCTATGTTTAACTAAAGCTTTTAATACGTAAAAAGCAATAGACAATGAATCATTTTAAAGCAGTTGATTTCTTTCTGGCAACACTTGAGAAAAGTTGTGGAGAAAAAGCTCATGTAACTGGGTTATTGAATACACTTTCTATAAATCTAACACAGTAACCCGCCTATAGTAGATACTCAATGAATAAGTAGCAGTTGAAGTAAATATTATTCTCTACTGTGTCTTGAAAAATATTATAGAATTTATCTTTTTCCCCCTTCTGTATTATTAAGTGAACTTTTTGTTTTAATCAGAAAAAAAAAAAAAAACAACCAAAAACCCAAAACCCCACCCTGGAGGGTTCTACAAAGATTTCACATGGTTGTATATCTTTTCTTTAGTTATGGGACCCTATGTGAGAAAAGTTTTGTGTGATGAACTGGGTGCCCCAGCTAATTCTGCAATAAACTGTGTTCCCTTGGAAGACTTTGGAGGACAGCATCCTGACCCAAACCTGACATATGCAACGACCCTTCTGGAAGCTATGAAAGGAGGGGAATATGGGTTTGGAGCTGCATTTGATGCTGATGGGGTAAGTAGGGAAATTTTCAGCCTGTTCTTTTTCCTGTGCTGGGTATTTTCATAGTAAACGTTTTCACCATATAGCTAATTGGCCATAGGAAAATTTTGCAACAGAGCAAACTCAAAAGCACATAATGAAGCATGAAAATTAATAACAATTAAAAATACAAAGTATTCAAATTTGAATATATTGCAGAAATAAAAATCTTTGAACATGTTTACAAACGTGCGTAGATTCATGGCAATACTGGACAAAGAATTTTCTTTTGCAGACTGTACCTAGCAATGCTTTTCCAAGGCTTTCCTTTATTCATAGTATTATACATTTTTTTGGTGATCATATTTTCAAGTGTGAAATCAAAGACTGTAAAGCCAGATTGCATACTAATACACTAGAAAATGTAGGGCAATGTTACCTTTCAGCCAATTAGTTATGTGGCAAAATTCTTATGATGAGACTTCTTGAAGTGAAAATAGAACCTTGCTTACCATATAATGAGCCAAACATTGGAAACCAGAGAATTAATGAATACATCCTGGAGTTGACATGTATGGAGCAGACCCTAACTGGCTCTGTATCTGCTTTGCTTTTTTTTAATTTTTATTTATTTATTTATTTATTTATTTAAAATTTTATTTATTTATGCATACAAGAATTGGGGTGTAAGCCAGAGGTGCAGGGGTGAGAGAATTCACCAGAGACAGAGTGGCGAGCAAGACAGGTGGATCTACTGAAATACACTGCTGAGGGGAGCAGCGGGGAAGGCAGGAGAGTTCTGCTGAGCCATGTGGGTTGCACTCTGGCCGGCCAGGGATGGAACCAATGCTGCAGTGGCTTGTGACAGCCTGACAGCTCTGTCTTTAACCCCTGCACTACCAGGTCCTGCTTTGCTGTTTAATGGCTAAGTATTGCAATTAAATAGCCACTACCTTTCTTAGACCCAGGTTAGCATTGTTGTAAAAAGGCTATTTCTTTGAAAAATATTTTTTATGCAATGAAGTTTTATTTATGGCTGGTTTTGTTGAAAGCACCATGTTTAGGAACCAATCATTTCAGCACCAATCCCTGTTCTGCTTCATGTTTGAGGGAAAGCAGGAATTACGTCTGTGAAGGATACTGAAACCTGAGATGTAGTCATGCACATTTCAGCTGGTGAAACACATTCTTAGCTGCCTCAATATTCTGGACCCTACACTATCAGAGATTTAAATGGTTTCCTATGACCTCTTTGGCCTCATTCAAGTTGGTTTAGGTTGTTTAGATAGAGGATGGCAGTGAAGTGGCTTGTGATGATTATGGGAATGGATTATGCTAGCGGCAGGGACCTCTGACCATTTTCACACATTCCTTCCCACAGGACCGTTATATGATCTTAGGCCAAAATGGCTTCTTTGTGAGCCCTTCCGACTCCCTGGCCATTATTGCCGCCAACCTCCCTTGCATTCCATATTTCCGCCAGATGGGGGTCCGAGGGTTTGGGAGGAGTATGCCTACCAGCACGGCCCTGGACAGGTAAGCAAGCCTGTCTCATGAAAACCTTTGTGGAAAATCTCTGATGTTGATAGCCCCTTTGTCAGTAGCTGTCACTCAGTTCTTCCTGCTGTATTGGAGCTTGTGGAAAGCCTGGGACATTAGGATATGGTGTATATTCTAGGAGGAGCATCTTGGTTCTGTCATTATTAGCTATGGAATTTGGGAGGCATATTTTATTCCTATGCCTCAATTGTCTAATATTAGTATTATGAGGCCAATATTAGTATCGCTGTTTCATGGATTGTTCTGCGATATGACCATAGTGGATCACACAAAAAATTTGACAGAGTGCCTGGTATGTAGTAAAGACTTCATAAATGTCTAGTAATAAAATTTGTGAAATATGTCAGTGAGATGGAAGGAACATAGGCTTTCAGGTTAGGTTATTAAGTACACATAGATAGCATGTGAAAATGCTAGCTTGTATCCATATTAGTTCTGTAAAAATAGAAATAATACATTACAGTTTTCTGTGAGACTAAAACGAGATACACATGGAAATTGCCCAGTAGATGCACATAGGAGATTCAAACAATATTGGGTTTCTTTCTCCTTGACTAACCCATCATTACAATCTTTTACTTTAACTTATAAAATAGTAAATTTCAGAGTCTAATATTTTCATGCAACGTATGTTATAACATGAATAATACATGTGCATGGTGGAAAGTTAGAAAACTCAGATAAATAAGAACTGTAAACATATCACTCTCCCTGAGTTATATATGTTTATGAATGAATGTATCTTCCTTATCAGATCTCTTTATATAATTATAAATCTCATAAAGTTACAGAATATATGTAATATGTATATATTTGCCTCTTGTAATACCAAAATGAGATCTGAAAGTATATACTGCTTTGTAATTTGCTTTACTTTTCCATTGACAATCTCTAATTTTGTATTAATATGTTTTTATGTCATCTAAAGCCAAGATTATATTCATATTTTCTGAGAGTCCACAAAATGTTTTATGGGTGCTTTCCCCAAAGCATCATTCCATTCAAGACAATTATTGCAATTGGTTGTTCTGTCCCTTAAATATTTTATAACCTAACACAATCTTCTTTTTTTTTTTTTTACTTCATTACAATGATTTTTGAAGAGACTGATTTTTGAGGTTGTCTTACAGAATCCGACCTTCTGAATTTCTGTGGTTATTTCCTCTTGGTGTTATTCATTCATTCATGAAGTAAAAATTACATGCAGTGAAATGAGTAATCTTAAGGGTATAATCTAATGAATTTTGAAAGATAACTCAAGTTAAGATATAGAAACTATCACTCAAAATTTTCTCCTGTGCCTCCTTCCAGTCCTCCATAAGCAACCATTGTCATAATTTCTATTACCATACATAAGTTTTGGCTGTTCTTGAAGTGCACATAAATAGAACCATATAATATATATGTTATTGTTTTTATTTAATGTTTATTTTTGAATCATCCCCATTGACTTCATGCATTAGTAGTTCATTACCTTTTGTTGCTGTAAAATACCATTGTATGAATGTATCACAATTTATTTTTCCAATCTCCTGTTAGCTATTCTGAATTGTGCTGCTATTAACATTTTTATATAAGTCTTTTTGTGGAGACATCTTCATTTCTCCTGGGTAAATATCTAAGAGCAGAATCCTGGTTGTTGGGTAGATGTATATTTAATCTTAAAAGAAACTTCCCAGTTATTTTCTATTTTACACTCGCATTGCCTGAGAGAATTCTTATTGTATTATACTCTTATTAGTATTTGGTACTATCTGCCCTTTTTATTTCAGCTATTTTAGAAAGTGTAAATTATTATTTCACTGTGGTTTAGATTTTTATCATCCTAATAAGTAGAGATAATGAATTCACTTTCAAATGCTTATTGTCTAACTGTGTAACTGTGTTATGTATGCTCAAAATGTATTTGCTCATTTAAAAATGTGAGTTCTCTTTTTTATTATTGATTCATAGAAATTCTTTATATTCTCTGGATAGTAAGTCTTTTGTCAGATGATATGTATGGCAAATGTTTTTCCCTTCCTGTTTCTTGTGTTTTCATATTCTTAGTGGTATATTCTTATGAGCATAAATTTTAAATTTTGATGAGGTACAGTTTAATTTTTTCTTGTATCATTATTATGTATTTTTTTTTCCTCTGTAAGATCTTTTCTTATCCCTAGGTCAGAGAGACCCTTGTTAATTTTTTACAATTGAGTCTATAATGATTTTGTTTTTGTTTTCACTCTTTTTTTAAATTAAGGTAACATTAGTTTACAACACTGTCAATGATTAAGGGGAATAGGTTCAAACGTCCTCAGATGCATGTCACTACACTACCCCACAACCGAAACACCTTAGTTCTTGCCTTAGACTATTGTGTTCTCTTATCCCTTGTTCTCACTCCTACCTTCCCTCCCCCACTAGCATCTTCAGTTTTGTATTCATATTTCTAGAGTTTATTTTGGTTTAGTTTTGTTGGTAACTTTTTTTTTATTTCTCTCTTTTTTTAAAGATTTATTTATTTATGCATGTAAGAACTGGGGTACAGGCCAGAGATGCGGGGGGTGAGAGGATTCAACAGAGACAGAGTAGGGAGCAGAACAGGCAGATTGACTGAAATATACTGCTGAGGGGAGCAGCAGGCGAGTCAAGAGAGGTATGCTGCACCGTGTGTGGAGCTCCTTGGCTGGCAGGGGATTGAACTCATGCTGCAGAGGCTGTAGATAGCTTCACAGTGCAGTGCTTAACCCCTTGCGCCACCAGGCAGGCCCTATTTTATTTCTTTTTATTTTCCACATATGAGTGAAATCTGCCAGTATGTGCCTATGATGATTTTGAGTTAATTTTTCTGTGTGGTGTAAGGCAGGGGTTGAGGTTCGCTTTTCTCCCCCATATCAAATTGTTCTAATCTATTTTTTTTAAAGTAATTTCCATTCTCCTTTGTTAAAAGTCAGTTGACCATGTATATGTGGGTCTCCTTCAGGATTTTCTAATCTGTGTCATTGATCTATTTTTCCATCCTTAGGCCAATATTACATGGTCCTAATTATTGAAGTCTTAAAATAAGTATTGAAATTAGATGAATCACTAACTTTTTTCTACACACACACACACACACACACACACACACCCCACACTCTTTCTAGGTCCTTTGCATTTCTATATACATTTTAGAATCAGCTTGTAAATTTCTAATTGTGCCTATTGGGATTTTGATTGGAATTTTGTTGAATCCGTAGAACAATTTGGAAAGAATTGCATTTTATTAATATTGAGATTTCCTGTCCATGAATGTGTGGTATATCTCAATTTGTTTTCTTTAAGTTTTCTTGCATGCTTTGTAGTTAATTATCTCTTACATGTGCCTTGTAGTCTAGTGTAGGGGTCTCACACATTTTTTGTTAAATTTATTCTTTAGTATTGTAGATACTTTGATACTCTTATAAGTGGAATAGTTTTATAAATTTAATTTTCCAATTATTTGCTGCTAGTAATTAAAATACAATTGATTTTTGTAGGTAGACCTCCTACCAGAGGTCTATTCTCTGAGGTAGAACTCAGAGGTAAATTCTCCTCCCCCCTAGAAGGGAGAAGAATCGCATACTTTGAGAATGACCTCACTTTATTTATCTCTTCTAAGAGTTATTGATAGTAACTTCATGATGATGAATGAACCTCAGTTTAAAACATATTTTAGAAGTCCTATATCACAGTAGTTATTGCCTAGTAGCATCAGAGAGTAGAATGTATGGTTCTATGGTTTTAGTTTTTTTTTTAAACCTCTTTTCCTTTGCTTATATCCTTTATTAAAAAAATCAGTAAAACTGTAGAGAACAAAGCAAAAATGGGCCATTTTCAGAAATTGAGAACTCAGTCATATGGGACCCTGATTGCTATGTCAGCTATTTAATATTGCTTGAGTATATTTAACAATTACTCCTTGCACTTCTAAGAATATTATAATTTAGAAAGAACTTTCATACATTTGATCTCACTGGACCTTTGCAATCACTTAGTAAGGTGATTTGGTAGGTGTTACTTTCACCATATTAAAGATGTTGAATCAGTGGTCGAGAGGTTAAGTGATAGGTATAATAAGGTCACACAGCTAATAAGAAAGTGACCTGGGCATTTGATTTGTGACTAGGTCTTTTGATTTAGATTATGGTTGTATCTGCCCAGTAACTACAACTTGATCAGGATGGTCCTTAATACTACTCAACTACTCAAAGTAGCTGAGATAGCCAGCAACTTTCCATAGTCTGGTCAGGAGAGGCCAATTTGATTCTGACAACAAAAACCATTTGTCCCCTTTTCTTGTGGAAATTTCCCAGTAGTTCTTAATTTCACTTTATGCCCTCTTCCCAATAAATCTCTGTTTCAGTCAGAAACCAGAGAACTTGCTTATAAGTTTCACAAAGGACCTGTTCTGATATGTAAGTGGCCATTTAAAAGGATTATTCATGCTGGCTGGTTGGGATTCAGAATTCTGTGGGCCTCTGACGTGGTGATTCGTTTTGGGTATTTGATCTGTTGTGTAGCTCCCATGCAGATTCTCATAATGGATATCTCATAAGCTTCTTTCTTAAATGCAGTTTCAAAAATTTTATCTTCACAGTGATTTCCCATTTAGGTCTTATTTTTTTAAATTAGTGAAATTGTAGGAATAAGCCCTTAAATGCTGGGCTCCAGAATGACAACTGAGAGTTGAGACACATTAAATTCTAGAATTGTCGGTGGGGACTATACCCTTGAAACTGATGAATTATTCAGACAAACTTTTATTGTTCACAGATAATAGTTTTTCCCTGAGGGACAACTTTCAGTGTCTTTAATTTCTACTCTTACAGTGTCACTAGAACAAGGATTCCATTTACCCTGGAATAATACAGTTTCAGCCTTGAAAATGGCATTCTTTGGGGCTTTGTCATTCTAAATATGTCTGATTTGTGATTGCAGATGAGTCTGTGTTGAAATCATTTTGGTTCAAATGA